ATAATAACGTAATATGACATTTAAAGCACCCCAGAACGATTATTAGTGTTTTTTATTAAAACATCGTCTGTTACCCACCAAGGCAGCATGACTCAAAAAAGAAGAAACTTTTTCATCATCATTCACTCCATCACTCATACTCTGAGAAATAAAACATTATCATTTTCATTAATATTGGCTTCTTGTATCTAGTTCTCATGTTTTTTGCTTTCTTTTAATTTACTCATTCAAGCCACCATGTCTCGTACCTATAGAATTCTAGACCTCTCCATAATTTAATTATCTTTGTTTATATCATTAGGGTTTGCAAATTTTGTATCACCTCCCAACGCTGGGTCACCTTAACATGATGGTGAGTTTTGGGAGTGGTGCCACTCTCCCCACAGGGTACTTGCTTGACTTACAACCCAGCATCTCCTTCATCATAAATGGTGTGGATATATTCCCTTTTGTCTAAATTTGTTGATACTATACTGCCAATGGCACCGAATGGTTTATAGATATGGACTGAAGTGTGTGAAAGTAGACTTAGTATTGTTTTATTTACTTTGTGATTATAATTTATGTAATGAGTTAATTGTAAATAAAAAAATTAATGCCTGTTTACTGTATATACTCTTTTGTAAATTAACTCTCAGAATATTTTGCTTATTTATTCCATCTCCATTACATGACACTTCAAACTTTTCAGCACTGCTTGATCTTGCCTGCAAGAAGGTTTGGATTGTTATTAGAGATTTTAGGTTTCATTTTGCCATTTTTATTTAAAAAATGGGTGGTATATTTTTCTGTTTTGATATCTTGAAACTGCAAATTCTGAATGGGTTAAAACTAATTGCTTGGTGCATCCAACTTAATGGAAGATTAATTACGAATGTAGGCTGCATGCTAATAAATTTGCTAATTCACATTGTTATAAAAAAGGGAGTTATTAGTTTACTTGTGATAACTGAAGAATACCTCTTTTGATTGTCTTTAAACTTAGTGCTGGTGTATTTTGGTCAGAGTAAGGTTCGCATTGCTGTTCGGCTGTTTTAGTCCCAAATTGTTTATTTTTTAAACATTGTCATATTGGTTTCTGTGTGATGACTGGAGAATGCCTCTTCTGATCAACTTCAAACTTGCCCAGAATCCTCAGGCATGTTAGTGGCTTTCTTTGTACTGTACTCAACAACACTTTATAAAATGTAAATTACATATTGTAACCTTTGCAAAGAAGTAAAAATTGTATTGTATTAAATGCTTGGGCATCTTTGTTGCAGTGTTTGGTTTAGTTATGGGTTGTGTAGGTCCTAGTTTGCCAAATAACAAAAACACACAATACCATGACTGGAACAATACACAAATAACCCGCACATAGAAGAGGGGAGCTTATGACGACGTTTTGGTCCGACTTGGACCATTTACAAAGTTCTAGTTTGCCAATTTTATTGAACTTTTGAAAATTTGAATATTTGTTTCCATATGGTAACATGTGAATGCTTGTTCTTCTCTGATTAAAACCCTGATCTGTCTTCTTAAAAATAAGAGTTGGATTTTTATTGGCTTGTGTAAATGTTATTCCCAAGTTTTATTTCATTATCTTGGCTGTGTCCTAGGACCTGACTGCCAGTTTCTTTAAAAAAGGAAAATACAAATTGTTATTGTACAGATCTGTAGAAAATTTTAAATAGCCAGACTTGAGTTGTGGAGGTGGGAAGTACAGTGCCTGTACCCTGAGGGAAGGGTGGAGATATGTTGCAGTTTTTGAACTGTAGTATCAGCACACCTCTGGCAAGACTATGATGGAGTGAGTGATAATGAGTGTTTCTTCTTTTTCGGATCACCCTGCCTCGGTGGGAAGCAGCTGGTGTTAAAAAAAATCAGTAACTGTGAAAGCAAAACTGAAAAATAACTCATTTTATGGTTTTAAATTGAAAAATTTGAAATAGAACCTACTTTAAAACACTGCAGTACATATATTTAATCATTACTTTCTTAGGTTATTTTGATAAATCTGGTAATTTATTCAGATATGAGGCAGGGGTCTGCTTTGCTTTGTGTTTTGTCATTGTTTTTATGCATTTTACCTATTTATAAGAGTTATATTTAAAAATGTATATTTTAGGGTTTGTGACCTTATGAAACATACATGCACAGTGTAATGTGTAACACTACACAAATATTGCAGTGCTGGACTGTTTAATTCCATTGCCTGACCCTCTTAAGGGTGTTGATATGCAGTGACTGGGCCTTCTAAGGTATTAGTTTACTGGTGCTAGACTTGAGTGTGTTGACCTGCAACTCCTATACCTCTTCAAGGTGTTGCTCTCCAGATTCTGGACCTCCTGAGAAGATTGAACCATAGGTCCTAGGTCTCTTGAAGCATAGTTGTAGCTCCTTTGTCACTTGAGGATTTGGATGTTCACTTAAATAATTCACATTAAGCACTAAACCCACATGGGTTGTTCAGTGGAAGATGTAGTGAAGGCTTGATCTCTGTCTGCTGAGCACAAGACAGAGATTTGCTGCCTGTTTGTACTCGCCAATATATGGAGGTTCAATTACCCTCGTACTCTAGCTATGGGATATGGAGGATATCTTTCTCAGATCATGCAACAACTAAAACTGGTCTAGTTTTCATAAAGTTTGTGCTGAAGGAAAGTAATATGTACTTTTGACAGTGAGAGGCTCATTCCTCATACTATTAAGGGCTCCTGTGTGAGGTGGCATTAGTACTTTCCTCTTGGTTAGCATTTTTGTATTAAATAATTTAATTGGAAGATTGTACTAATCTTTATGGTTTCTTCATTGAACCAGAAAAATAGGGATAAAAGATGTAAATTGTTTTTATCTGCCTTCTCTTTGTCTTTATTCTTGATGGCATGTTATTCATACTCACGTGGCTATCTTGGACATTTTGGTATTGTATGTTATAAGTGAACTTACTTAATAATATGGTTGGATTTCTCTTGTTTTAAAAGCATTTTTATGTATTATACATAGTTTGTAAGATGTTTGCTAAAGCCATTTTTGTTAAGGTGATGCTAAAAAATTTTCTTTTCCAAACATTTCTAAGGACATGGTCTCATTTTGTTCCTTTGTTATTTAAAAGGAGGGTCCTGCATATACAGCACCACCCTCTTTTCGATGTTTCGTGTTTTCTTTGGCCTCAAATTGAGCCATTGTTCACCAGCAGGTGGAACAATGGCTGAAATAAAAGCCAGTGAATATGTGGAACACTGAAAAGAGGTGCTGTATGTGCAGGGTCTTTCTGTATATATAAATTTAGCTAAATTTTTAGGCCAATAATAGAATGTAAAAGTGTGCTACATTTTCCCTTCTAAATTAAATATGATTCTCTGGAATGACAAGCAAATGTTGTTCAAAGGTAAGTAAGTACAGTGGTACCTTGGGATACGAGCAGCTCCCAACTCGAACAGTTAATGTAAGATAAATTAATTTAACCATCGGAATGATAGAGGATTTCAGTCACTTTGCCTGGCACGGTTTGTCATTGCTGTTTTGTGACTGCAATTTTTTGGCATCAAGATATCTTCTAATGAGCCAGCACAACTTGAAGTAGGACTCGCTTTTGAATCTCATCCTTTGTAATTATTTTGTACTCTTGAATTGGTGCTACACCTTGTTCTGCTTTGTCATTAACAATGATAAGACTTGCAGTAGCCTTTTTTTTTTTTTCCTGAATGTATGATATATCTTCTGTGCAGCAAGCAGGATCAGTCTCAACCCAGTTAGTGGAGATCACCAGCATATGGAAGAAGTGTGTGCTGTTCTTTGTGAATAATGTGAGAAAAGTTGTATTACTCTTTCCTGTACATTATGACAGGATGCTTTGGTGGGGGAATCAAAGCTTTCCTTTAATGCCTTTAATGATAGTGGGTTTGATGCAATTATTTAAGGAGATGCCACCAAGATCTCCAATCAAATACATTGTGTAATAAAACAGCCTTGATACCTGTTTGAGGCAACCTGGTTAGTAACCTTGAGTTCAGTCTGGAATTTTAGTAAGTTCTGGTCATTTAGTGGAGTCTGAAGTGCAAGTTGTGCAGAGAATCAGGCATCAATGCACATCAAGTAGGTGAAGAGGATTATAGTCTGAAGTAACTTGAACTCTTTGGCATCAATTTGATCTGAGATTGGAACTTGACAAATTTGAGGGAGTATTTCCCCTCGGCCATCCATCTGGCCCTATGAATAGCTTGAAGAGCCTTTGTGTGTGTCTCACATGGTGGTACTGCTTCAGGTACAGCATGAGCTCCAGAAGTTTTTGTTATTGTCACATGGCTGCTCTTCATTGTTCAGTCCAGTCACTTCATGGTGAACTCCCTAACATGTTTTGTTGCTGGTGGAAAGTGAACTTATTTTTTTCCCCTCAAAAAACTTCTGGATTGTATTGATTTTTGTCATGAAGGTTTCAGGAACAGACTTATTTCAGCACTCTCAAGTGCTGGAAGAAGAATCTCTAGGCTTGTCCCCTTGTTAGGCAAACTTTTTTTTTATATTGCCGTTAACTGGTCCCTGAAGGTAAATTTTGGATTTTCTCCTTGCAGTTGTATCACATGCCATCACAGTGAAACAAAACAAACCCTTGATGTCATTAGCTAAATTAGAATATCCAATTTTTTTAATATTTTATTAAAGTTTGACATTGATGTTGCATGTATTAACTTAAAGATTATCTGAAAATATTTAATATGCGAGTTTATCTCCTCACCTTGCATAAAAGAAGACCATGTTCCTAGAAATATTTGAAGTTTTTTTGGTGATCATCCTAGTGTTTCAATGTGTTTACCCTTGAATGGAGGTGTCTCAATCCAGAGAGTTAGAACTACCTTTTCTTTCCATGGATTGAAGCTGATTTCCTCCCTTTCCCTTGGTATTGAATGACCCCTATGGGTTCAGCCCTTCCTCATGAATGTAATAATAATAATAATAATAATAGTCCATGTGTTTAATGGAGTTTTTTTTTTTTTTGGTTTGGTTTGTCCTCTTCCTAGATTGTACTAACAACACATGCACCCTAATATCATCTCTAAATCGTCCTGTTATCCTTGTTACCCCAACCCAATCAACCACATTTCCTTCAGACATCAACAATGTTCATGACACCGAGAGGTCACTTGATCCTTCGTATGATGTTCAAGCATCACCTCTGCGAAGCCTTACTAAGCAGAATGCAACAGTAAACTTATTGCCAAACAAAATGAATGTGTCAGAACTGAGTGGTCAGCAGGCATGTGATCGAAAAGGTAAAGGTGTAAATATGGAGGAAGACTTGGTGTCCCTGGATTCAGTAGGGCATACTCATGTTCCATGCAGTGATCCAGATTTTATTCGTAATGCAAAATCTGGAATAAGGGTAAACCAGTGTAACTCTGTTACAAATCAGAGAGATGCTGCTGGTAGCAATGAACAGCAAGGTGACAAATCTGTTAGTGCAACTGATAAAGATTCTCCCAAAATCAAGAGGGAAAGTACATCTAGTGTAACACCCAAGTTGTCTCCCCTACTTTCTCGCCGTTCCCGTTTGGCTCCGCCCCAGATCAAGCGCTCAAGTTCAATGACTCGTCTAACAGAAGCTATTAATCAGATCCACAATCTGTGTGTGTTTCCAGCCCAGCCAGTTGTCGTAGAGCAAGTAAGTTTCTAGTCATTTTATAATCTTTACCTGAAAATTTTTGAATTAGAGACTGTATAGTTTTTCTTAAAAGAAACACTTACCTAAAGTAGGTGAAATGGAATCCATAAAGGTACAGTATTTGATTTATACATGCATTGTACTGTACCATATAATATAAATATTCCACTGTGTTTTATATGTGTATTGGCCTTTAACAAAGTGTCGACCATTGTGTCTTGGTACAGTGAAGTCTCCATATTCATTTTATTTGCTAACATCTCTCTTTCACAAACTGCAGGAACATCATTCTCATTGCTATCCAGTTTCTTTTATTGTGACATGTGACCCTAAATTGAAAACTAACCAGAGAATTTAATTCGTGTTCACTGAATTTTTCACATGCAAATATATCTTCTCTTTTATATGGATATAGTTTATTATTATTGTCAGTATTAATCAGGTTAGGGCAATGTTTAGAGAGGTACGGCCAAAAAAGGAAATTAACCCTTTGACTGTTTTGGTCGTATATACAGTATATGTCTTACGAGGTACTGTGTTTGACGTATATACACTCATAAATTCTAGTGGCTTCAAATCAAGCAGGAGAAAGCTGGTAGGCCCACATGTGAGAGAATGGGTCTGTATAGTCAGTGTGCACCATATAAAAAAAATCCTGGAGCACGCAGTGCATAATGAGAAAAAAAACTCCGACCGTTTTTTTTTTAATTAAAATAACGAATTTGTGGTCTATTTTCATATAGTATTTATGATTGTATTCTCGTTTTCTTGGTCTCATTTGATAGAATGGAAAATATATTATAGAAGTAGAGGTGATTTTGATTGATTTTACTATAAAAAGAACCAGGAAATGGAGCTCAAAGTAGGGGAAATGTTTGTTTGATTTTTGCCAATGTTCAAAAGTGAAGAAATGATGTCATTGTCCAATAAATGTCCAACTAGCCATTCTAACATGCAGTCATCAATGGGTTGATGTTATTTATACAATTATTACAATATTGCAGTAGTCTGCATAACAGTAAATCTTCTATTTTTTGTTTGAATAAAAATTCAAAATAGAAAGCAAGAGTAATATCAGAGGGGCCTGGAGACGTGACTGATAAACAAAGAAAATGTTATTTTAGAGCCAGGAATGTCTGCATTGTTCATTCTGGACCTTATTTTGAAATTGTCATATTTTTTAATTTTCATGAAATTGGCCAAATTGCAAATTTCTGACCACGTTATTGTGTAGTTAAAATCAGTAAATGGGCAGTTTCTTGTACTCAATCCATAGAAAAAACGGAGTTCTAAAGAAATAGCTATGAGTTTGGTCAACTGGAACAATAGAATTAGCCAAAAATAGGGCTCAAAGTGGGCAAAATCGCCGATTTGTAAATATTGCCAAGGTCACTAACTTTGCAAGAGCGTAATGCCGTCAGTTTTCCATCAAATTTAATTTTTTTGGGTGTCATTACAATCAGGAAAAGATTCTCTATCATTTCATAAGAACAAATATTTTTTTTTTTTTTTTTTTTTTAAATTTTGCAACACCAGGAGACATCTCAGGATTGGGGGTTGCGACAGTCAAGGGGTTAAAAAATCAAACTAGAATTGAGATTTCTGAAAGTAGTTTCTGTCACTTTCCCACACCTGAAACAATTTTTTCTGGTTTAGCAGTAATTTCAGATTTTTCTGCAATCTGAGAGTATCCAGGAATGTAACCCTTGCATTTATGGAGATTTCACTGCATAAATTTTCTTCTGTGACTGGTGTATCAAGTTTTTGTCTAGTATTTTCTGAGTTCAAAAATATCTTTTATGATTTTAATACAGTGTTTAATTTTTAGGCAGTTTGATTTTCTGAAATAGATGAATTTTGGAAAATTTCTGGTTGGATACAATAAATCAGATACTGTATACTTGGTTAATTATCTTGTCTTATTAAGTTACATATCTTAAAAAAAAGTAGTAGTAGTAGTAGTGTTCCCAGTTTTACATTCTCCTTCCTGTTAGCTCTCCATTTCTCTCCACTCACTAAGTTTCTTACTGGCAGTATGGCTGAAGGTGGTGGAGGATAGGAAAAGAACCTTATACTGTACTATCCTGACCTCATCACTCTAAACAGGAATAGTAGTAGTAGTAGTGAGACTACATTTTAGCTTTCATCATCAGATAAACATGATGTACACTCTAAAGTTTGTTAACTACTTTTTCTTTGTCCTCCCACTCACTCCCTTCCCCACTATCACTTTCTCCCTCCCTCTAGTTCTTTTTCTCCTTCTCTCCTTTGGGATTGAGATATCCTACAAATATTTTGAAAGTTGATAGATATTCTGTCTTTAGTAGTATCCTTATTATAGAGTTAGTTATGTGTGAACATTTTATTTATGGGGGTGGGGATGTTGTAGTTCAGAGGGCCATCTGAAATGTGATGTCAACACAGTTCTGGAAAGACTGATTGAATAAGTGATGGGGAAACCATTTCTTCATTTTTTTTTGGATTGCCTTAGGTGAGAGAATACTGGTGTTTAAAAAGAAAAAAAGTTGGGTACAGAGTGAAGTTGTAACTATCTGTAAGGTAGCCTTCTCATTGAAATACAAGTACAATATAGGTTTCATGAATTGTTTCTTGTCTCCTAATTAGGAAGATATTTATTCTTAAGTCAGACTTTTTAATGTTACTAATTTTTTAATAATATTTTGTTGCACAATAATTAGTGTGAATCTGTTTATGCACTCTTATTGTACCATAAAAAAGTATTTGTAGTGGATTTCTTTCAAGTTTATAGGTAGTGTATGTTAATGTATTTATTATACAGTGGACCCCCGCATAACGATGGCATCACATAGCGATTATTTCGCATACCGCTTACTTTAATTGCAAAAATTTTGCCTCACATACCGCTTAAAAACCCGCTTACCGATTTTCGTCCGAGACGCGTCCAATGTGCGGCCTGAGCCACGCTCACATGTTCCGCCGGTGGCATTGTTTACCAGCCAGCCTCCGCGGTAACATCCAAGCATACAATCGGAATATTTCGTATTATTACAGTGTTTTCGGTGCTTTTTCTGGAAAATAAGTGACCATGGGCCCCAAGAAAGCTTCTAGTGCCAACCCTACAGCAATAAGGGTGAGAATTACAATAGAGATGAAGAAAAAGATCATTGATAAGTATGAAAGTGGAGTGCATGTCTCCGAGCTGGCCAGGTTGTATAATAAACCCCAATCAACCATCGCTACTATTGGTGGTACAGCTGCTGCTGCTGCTGCACTGTCAGCTGCTGCTGCTGCTGTAGCACCGTTGTTGGTGTGGCTTATTGAGAATACCAAGAAACAATTAACCCCAGAGGATTTGCCACCCAGGATAACCCAAAAAAGTCAGTGTCATCGAAGACTGTCTAACTTATTTCCATTGGGGTCCTTAATCTTGTCTCCCAGGATGCAACCCACACAAGTCGACTAACACCCAGGTGAACAGGGAAAAATGCCTGGAACTAGTGCTCATATTGGTGAATTTAAAGCCAGCAAAGGTTGGTTTGAGAGATTTAAGAATCGTAGTGGCATACACAGTGTGATAAGGCCTGTTCTGGAAGAAAATGCCAAACAGGACCTACAGTACTCAGGAGGAAAAGGCACTCCCAGGACACAGTGTCTCATCAGTCATTGCTGCATCTTCAATAAAGGTAAGTGTCATTTATTCTTCATTTAGTAGACTAGTACATGCACAATATATACTGTGCATGTACTACTCTACTATTGTGCATGTATCCTTCTCTTTGTGTGTGGGAAAATGTATATTTCATGTGGTAAAATTTTTTTTTTCATACTTTTGGGTGTCTTGCACGGATTAATTTTATTTCCATTATTTCTTATGGGGAAAATTCATTCACATAATGATTATTTCGCATAACAATTACCCCTCTTGCACGGATTAAAATCGTTAACCGGGGGTCCACTGTATATTGTAACTTTATATTTTAACCATGTAAAGTAAAAATGCAGCTAATTAACTTCATAATTTATAAAACAGTAATTTGTATATTTTGTTTAATATTTGTAATATACTGTACTGTACAGACATGTGAAGGGTTGTCAGAGCGCACTTCACACACATCACCATCTGTACAGCAGCCAATGTCTGAGGTAATCAGTAGTGTTACCCTTACACCACTCATTGTCACATCCTCTAGAATTGACAAAGTGTGTACCCAGTCTCCCAAGCTCTCCAGACACCCAGCATTTAGGGAAAACCTAAAAGAAAATAAAAAATCATGCATGGATTCTCATGATATTTTTGCATCCCGGTATGATAGAGTTCCTAATTCCAGAACTGATCTAGAATATATAATACATTCACAAAGTGTGTGTAGTCCAGATGAAGTGTTATCTAGTCAGCCTAATTCTAAAGTTACAGAGAATGGTTTTTATGCTTTTCCTTTGAGAACTAAACATCAAATAGATAGTGCTGTTAGTAAAGCTTCAAGCACAAATTGTGGACTTCTGGATGTTGGGAGTTCCAGGAATGTTAACAACATACACAGGTCACATATCACTAAAGATGAAAAGAAAATAAGAAAGAAGAGTGATCAGAGAAGTACTAACATCCTGAAGAACAACAGTGGTCCTGCCGAATTAAAGCATGCAAGCACTGCTCCAGACAGATTAGCGAATGAAGATGATCACCCCTTTTATAGTGCATCATGCCTACAGCCAGAACTGGTACGTCTTAGACATAGCTCAAATGTTCATGGCTTTCCACCTCTTTACTTTTCTTAAAGGGTAATTTGCTAATTTTTTTTTATTTAGAAATTTTGTGTAGTGCTGGTATATTCATGTTCAGTACACACAGTGCCCTGACACTCATTTGTTGGAAGTGATAAATGATAAACTTTATTTCTACAAACTATAATCTACAATTGAAAGGAATAGATGACATTCAAAGTCTGTACGTACTTCATTACTACTTGTGGATCTGTGCTGCTTTTCAAAAATTTGTGTGTAATGGTCAAAATTCTGAAACAACTACCATACATTGCATCATTAAAGTTTCAGAGATGTTACTATTAAATGAAAGATAAAAAATTAGCATTTTAAAACATGAGAAAGCTTTGGCCTTTAATAGGTGTTCAAATCCCACAAGCTAAAGGTGTTCAAACACCACCATGTTACAGTAAAGTGTATACAGTACTATACTCTCGGAAGTGTTCTCTTAATTTTAATTACAAATACAAGAAAAACTGAACAACTATATACGTATATACACGTATTTTTTTACCCAATTTTGTCCAGATAAATTCCTCGTACTGTACAAGGAAATATTTTGTTTATTGAAAATCTGAAAATAGGGTTTTGGAGAGTAGTGATAACACCAGTACTGTTTGATGGCAACTTGCTATGAATGTTAGGCTAGAAATATTATAGGCAGTAATAAACTACATTACAGTTGAATCATAATGAAATAGCTAACTATGGCTGTCCAAGACCATGATCTCTAGCCCATAGACCATATTATCCTTTTGCCTAAGTTTTACCACTCAGAATGATAAAAGCTGATGTCTTTTATAGTAACATTATCCATGGAGGCAAAGAAGGGAATGTACGAAAGTATAGTGGTACCAGCACTCTTATATGGGTGTGAAGCTTGGGTTGTAAATGCTGCAGTGAGGAGGCAGCTGGAGGCAGTGGAGAAGTTGTCTATGGGCAATGTGTGATGTAAATATTATGCAGAGAATTTGGAGTGTGGAAATTAGGAGGTGGTGTGGAGTTACTAAAAGTATTAGTCAGAGGGCTGAAGAAGGGTTGTTGAGGTGGTTTGGTCATTTAGAAAGAATGGAACAAAGTAGAATGACATGGAGAGCGTATAAATCTGTAAGGGAAGGAAGGCGGGGTAGGAGTTGTCCTTGACAAGGTTGTAGGGAGGGGGTAAAGGAGATTTTGTGGGTGAGGGGCTCGGACTTCCAGCAAGCATGCATGAGTGTGTTAGATAGGGGTAAATGGAGACGAATGGTTTTTGGGACCTGATGATTGTGTCATTACGATTTCATGAGTCATGTTGACGGCTTCGAGGGGACTTAAGCTAGAGTTCGTCACGGTCATGCTAGCTGGAGATTCGTCTGTAAAAACTTGCATTTGTGGTCACAGTGGTCCCTGTGCTAACCTTCCTATGGTGTATAAATATAAACCATACCATGGGCAGGGATAGAACTCGCAATCAGAGAGTCTCAAAATATACCTAGTTGGAGGAATCTTATTGTGGCTAGCTGGTCCAGTGGCTAATGTGTCGGTCTGGAGTTTTAAGACACTCTGATTGCGGGTTCTAACCCTGCCCATGGTATGGCTTGTTTGCAGTTGTGTCATTATGATTTCATGAGTTGTTACGACTCTGATTTCGTAACTTAAATAAAATGTTCCTGGCTCCTAAAGGCTGCTCATACTGCTGTCTAGGGGTTATAAATTACTCTGACAACACAGCAAACCTTGGGCCAGCATGTACTCATATATTAAACAATATTAATTGTTATTAGGAAGGAAGGACATAAAAACTCACCTATACAATCTACTCCAAAAAAAACCCACCACACTCCAGGTCACATTAACTCGCAATAAAATAACACATGGTATAAACTTACAAAAAACACCATCCCTACTAAACACATACCGTGATGTATTAGGACATTTTGTTGCAAGTGCTCCTGTCTCCTGGCCACTCTAACTGGCTGGGAATAATATGCGTTCGGATTCAGTACAAACCCGGAAAATGACATATGGAGCGTTATTTGTATAAATGCTTTTTTTACTGTGCTCCTTAACATTATGATTTTGTGTCAATTTCTAAATATTTTTTTAATGAAATCATTGGGAAAGTGATCTTAAAAAAGACTCATGGTAAGAAAGAAGATAATACAGAAATAATTGCATAGGAAGTAATTTGTAATTAACTAAAGATTGTTAAAATTAATACTATAAATAAATGAAATAATGACTGCTAATTATCCTTAATTTATTAATTGAAGTTATAACTATTTAATTTTTCACTTTATCCAGTAATATGCAGTGTTGCAGCATGAAAGTTATAATATTTTTGTAATGCAGAGTGCATGAAAATTTACCTGCTTTTAGTTTATATTTTATATTTTCCTGTGTGTCAGTCTTTCATCAAGAGCAAATAATAATTGTGGAAATGAAACTCATTCCGGCTTCTTTTTAAACAGAAATCAATGCAGTTATGTACTCAAAGTTTCCATGAGTTTTTTTTATTTACTCTCACACTGTAGACCATTGTTTCAGTGCTGAATAATCCATAAGAATTTAGTTTTTTGACTATTACAGTAATGTAGAAAATTATTAGAAGACCATCAGCATTCACTGGCTAACATACATGTACAGGTGCTCCTTGACTTATAATGATTTGGCTTAAAATATTTCAACTTTATGATGGTACAAAAGCAATTACTTTGGAGATAAAACTTAAGATAACCACCCAGCATGAGGGTGGCAAATCCATATATTGTATTCATTTAGTATTTACTTTTCAATACTGATACATGTATTTAGTTAGTTATAGTAATTATTTGTTTATTTACTTATTCAATGACAGTAGTTATTCATTTATTTGTATATTCAGTGACAATAGTTATTTATTTATTTATTTAGCATATGCTGTACAGTGGAACCTCGTTTTTCGGACGTAATCCGTTCCAGAAGGCCTAAATTTGAAACGGCCTAAATTCGAAGCAATGTTGAGGTGGTTTGGTCATTTAGAGAGAATGGATCAAAGTAGAATGACATGGAGAGCATATAAATCTGTAGGGGAAGGAAGGCGGGGTAGGGGTCGTCCTCGAAAAGGTTGGAAGGAAGGGGTAAGGGAGGTTTTGTGGGCGAGGGGCTTGGACTTCCAGCAGGCGTGCATGAGCGTGCTCGATGGGAGTGAATGGAAACGAATGGTATTTGGGACCTGACGATCTGTTGGAGTGTGAGCAGGGTAATATTTAGTGAAGGGATTCAGGGAAACTGGTTATTTTTATATAGCCGGACTTGAGTCCTGGAAATGGGAAGTACATACAATGCCTGCACTCTAAAGGAAGGGTTCAGGATATTAGCAGTTGGAGGGATATGTTGTGTATCTTTATACGTATATGCTTCTAAACTATTGTGTTCTGAGCACCTCTGCAAAAACAGTGATTATGTGTGAGTGAGATGAAAGTGTTGAATGATGATGAAAGTATTTTCTTTTTGGGTATTTTTTCTTTTTGGGTCACCCTGCCTCAGTGGGAGACGGCCGACTTGTTAAAAAAAAGAAAAATTAATCTGTTCCAAACACCCAAAAATATTCACAAAAAAATAGATTTTTTAAAGATTAATTATAGTTTTACATTCACAAAACAATGAGAACTAAATAAAATAAATAAATAAGCATTTAAATCACTATTACATACCTTTATTGAAAAGACTTGTTGGCTTTTGGAAAGAGGAAGGACTGATTATTGTTTGGAAGGGGAATCCCCCTCCATAAGGACTTTAGGTATCAAAGCCCTGTCTGGGGTTCCTTCCCTCCCTGCCTGTTACACTCCCTGCATGCCTGCTACACTCCCTCCCTCCCTCCCTCCCTCCCTCCCTCCCTCCCACACTCCCTGCCTCCCTTCCACACTCCTTGTTGCCCTTCTACACTCCTTGCCTGCATGCTACACTCCCTGCCTCCCTTCCACACTCCCTGTTTCCCTGCAACACTCCCTCCATGCCTGCTACACTCCCTGCCTGCCTGCTACACATCCTGCCCATGGTGGCTTATTTCACAGTCTCGCTTAATAAACAAGCCACATCAACTTCCTTGATTTGTTCTTTCTTTGCCAGGATAGAAGTAATTGTTGACTTGTTTTTGCCATACATCCCATGGTGACTTTCACAGTCACACTTAATAAAAAACCACCAAAAAAATGTATTTTAAGGAAATGTTTGGATGAATGCGTGGAGTATATGCTCACTTGCCGACAGACAAAGGGAGACTGACTCGCCTACGTGCAGCGTCCCAGGCCGGTATACGAGGCAACGGCTGAAATATGGAGCAAATTTTCCGCCAAAAAAACGGTCTAAATACGAATTGGCTGATAAATGCAGTGGCTGAAGAACAAGGTTCCACTGTATTCATATTCGACTTGCGATATTTTTTACTTAGGATGGATTCGTTGGAATGTATCCCCATCGTAAGTCAAGGAGCACCTGTATAGCATTTGTTGATAAAGTTTTTTAGATAAGATGCATATGCAAGAGTATGGTATCTTTATTTTTGGTATCATCAGTAGAAACTTCAAACTGTTAAAAGGGTATCTTACTCATCTATTTGTTGGTATTGTATGCTACTAAACAAAGTTTTGTATGGCAGGAGCAAGGTTTTAGCAGTCGTTCAGCATCGTGGTATGGATACAAGAAAACTTCTGTTAGCTCCGAAGGAAGTGAAGGAGGTCATGAGGTATGTGCATGCTCTGTAGACTTGATGCAGTATCTTGTAAAAGCTTAATGAAGGATCAGATGAACCACTTGTCTTCAAAGGGGTCTATCTATCTATCTCTATCTCTGTCTCTCTCTCTCTCTCTCTGTCTCTGTCTCTCTGTCTCTCTGTCTCTCTGTCTCTCTGTCTCTGTCTCTTGCTCTCTCTCTCTCTCTCTTTTTTCTCTTTTTTTTTCTCTTTTTCTCTCTTTTTCCCTTTTTCTCTATCTGGTTCTTGTTATCTCTTGCTTGCCTACTCTCTTCCTCTTGCTATCTCTCACTTGCTCTCGCACCCTTGCTATCTTGCTTGCTCTCGCACCCTTGCTATCTTGCTTGCTCTCTTTCTGTCTCGCTTGCTTGCTGTCTTGCACCCTTGCTGTCTCACTCGCTCGCTCTCTTGCTCTTGCTATCTCTCGCTTACTTTCTTGCTCTTGTTATCTCTTGCTCACCCACTCTCTTGCCCTTGTTTTTTCTCATTCGCTCACTTTGTTGCTCTTGTTATCAATTACTCTTGCTATCTCTCGCTTGCTCGCTCGCTCTCGCTTGCTCTCTCTCTCTCTTGCTCGCTCTCTCTTGCTCTCTCTTTTTTTTTACACACGGTTTGACAAGGTTAAGGATCCCTAGCTTTATTGACAAGCTATTTACAGGTTAAGGATTCCTAACTTTATTGGCAAGCTAAGAGCTGTTACCTACATCAGTTTATTTGAAAGCAATTTTATTGTTATGAGACATACAGGTAGGGAACAGGATGAAGTTGGAGCCATCTGTGGGCCACTCTTGCTCTCTCTCTTGCTCTCTCTCTTGCTCTCTCTCTTGCTCTCTCTCTTGCTCTCTCTTGCTCTCTCTCTTGCTCTCTCTCTCTCTTGCTCTCTCTCTCTCTTGCTCTCTCTCTCTCTCTTGCTCTCTCTCTCTCTCTTGCTCTCTCTCTCTCTTGCTCTCTCTCTCTCTTGCTCTCTCTCTCTTGCTCTCTCTCTCTCTTGCTCTCTCTCTCTTGCTCTCTCTTGCTCTCTCTCTCTCTCTCTTGCTCTCTCACTCTCTTGCTCTCTCTCTCTCTCTTGCTCTCTCTCTTGATCTATTGATCTCTTTCATTCCTGTTCTTTTGTGTATACATACACACACACACATATGAGCACACACATATACTCACCTAATTGTGCTTGCATGGGTTGAGTCATAGCTCCTGTCCCACCCTCTTCACTGGTCATTGCTAGGTCACTTCCTCCCTGCCCCGTGAGCTTTATCAACACCTCTTCTTAAAGCTATGTATGGACCCTGCCTCCACCACCTCCATTTCCAGGCTATTCCATTTCTTGACAACTCTGTAACTGAAGAAATACACGTACAGTGGTCCCTTGTTTTTCGTTATTAATCCGTTCCTGGAGGAGCTACTATAAACGAAATTTACGATTTGCGAATCAATTTTCCCCATAAGAAATAATGTAAACACAATTAATCCGTTCCTGACACCCAGAAGTATTAAAAGAAAAAATTTTTTTACATGAAATATACATGTAGTACATAAACAATACAATGGGAAATGATGACTGAAACATTAACAGCATAACACTTACCTTTTTTCGAGATTCTTCTTAGTGTATGGGAGACTGGAGGAGGAGAGAGATTGGATTGTTTACAGTTTGGAAGGGGAATCCTCTTCCAGCAACACCTCAGGTACCAATTGCTTCTCTGGGGTTACTTCTCTTCTCTGTTTCTTAATGCCACTAAGACCACCTTGAGAGTCACTCTAGTCCTGTCTCGCAAAGTAACTGTGGAGAGAGCTATGTTTCTGGCGTCTCTTTAACACTTCCCTAAAATGGCCCAAGACTTTGTCACTGTACATATTTCTCACCTTCTTTACTACAGGCTTGGCACTAGGAGCTTTCTTTGGTAGCTTATTTAGTACTTGCAAGCACTAAAATGAGTGGAATATTATGAAATATTTCGTAGGAGCACTTGAGGGGACCTTCACTCACTGGTAAACAATGCCAGACTGGCTGGGTAGGGAGGCCGCCTTGGCTCACACCGTGCGTACGCGTCCCGGACGAACTACTATTCGCGAGTCAACCTATGAAAAATGAGTCCACGTTTATACGAAAATACCCCTATGACTGGCGAAATTTACGATTGCCGAGAACTACGAAAAGCGAGGGACCACTGTACTTCCTAACATCCCTGTGACTTGTCTGAGTCTTCAACTTCCAGTTGTGACCCCTTGTTGGTGTGTCCCATCTCTGAAACATCCTGTCCCTGTTCACCTTGTCGATTCCCTTCAGCATTTTATGCTGTATGTTGTTATCATGTCCTCCCTGTCCCTCCTGTCCTCCAGTGTTGTCAGGTCGATTTCCCTTAACCTCTCCTCATGGGACATGCCCCTGAACTCTGGGACTAGTCTCGTTGTAAACCCTTGCACTTTCTCTAATTTCTTGACATGTGTGGCCAGGTGTGGGTTCCAAACTGGTGCTGCATACATCAATATGGGCCTAACAGTAATTGCCATTACTACACTGTCAGCCAGGCTAAAGCTGTACTCAGTGCCAACAAGAACATAACAGTATTCAGTTACAATATCAGATCATTGAGTAAACACCATGATGACCTCCTTGCACTTCTTAACTCTCTAAATGTTAACATATCCTTTATCATTCTCACAGAAACCTGGCTCAAACATGATTTAACAGACATCTTTGCCTTACCTGGTTACTCAGCCATACACAGCTGCAGGCCTGATCAATCAGGAGGAGGTACTGCTGTCTACTACTCTATAAACTAAAATGTATTAAATCTACTTGCACCAGGGACGAATATGGTGAATATATACGTAGTTGCCAAATTCAGATCCAAAAACCTGAAAAAAAACCATAGCAGTTGGAGCAGTCTACAGATTGCTTCACACTAATACTTACACATTTAGTGACAACTTAAGAAACCTAACTGACTCAGAGATGAATGAACACCACCTGTTACTTGCTGGACTTTAATATAAACCTCATTCAAGCAGCTGACCCCCAAGTAACTGATTTTTCAAACACTATGAGCAGCTGCTTGCTACTTCCATCTATAACTTAACCAACAAGAATCACAGAGACAAGTGCCTCATTACTTGATCATATCTGGACCAATACTGTATCCCCACTAAAAGCAGGCATAATCACAGACAACACTACGGACCACTACCCAACTTTTCTCATAACCATCTTAGGTAGTCTGCCTCAGGACACGACTAAGATCTCTTTTCGACTACACGATGAGTCATCAGTAAATAATTTTATTACTGCCGTACGTAACACTGACTGGCTGGACGAGCTGGCGGACAGCCACGATATTAATGAATGTGTCAAAATATTTCTATACAAAACCCATAACCTCTATAATAGACATTGTCCAATGAAAATAAAGCAGATCTCATGAAAGCGACTAAACAGCCCATGGCTTACAAATAGTATACTTAAATCCATCGATAAAAAACATCTAATAACAAAAAAACTAACAAAATGATACACCTCAATACTTACTAATCTAATACAGAAGTCCAGACAAATGTATTATGTAAACAGAGTTACTGAATTTATAGGTGATATGAAAAAGACCTGGAAAACCCTATCTAAAATTTTGGGCTCTAGAAAACTGTCTAGAAACAGATTAACTTAGCAAAACCAGACAAATCACACATACAGCTCATAAACACTGCCAACAAACTTGTCTTCTTTTCCACTAAAGAATTGAAACATGCAAGCAAATTCCCAAATGCAAATACTTAGCCACAAGACTACCTCACTGGTAATTACCCACATACTACTCTATATCTAGCACCAACAAATCCTTCTGAAGTCTCACTAATAATTAAATCATTAAAAAACAAGGCAGGAGACCTAAATAACTTGCCACCAGTCATGTATAGAAAAGCAGCTCATGTGCTGTCCCTCATTATTGCAACACTATTTAACATATCTGTTGAATCTTCAGCATTCCCATCCAGTACTCAAACAGCAAGGGTCACCCCAATCCTCAAAGGAGATGATCCTACAGAACTAAACTACAGACCAATATCTAACTTGCCTTTACTCTCAGAAATCTTTGAAAAAATAATACATAAACAAATCTACTCCTACCTCCTGTCCCATAACTTACTGAACCCCTGCCAGTTTGGGTTTAGGCTGAAAAAAAGCACAAATGATGCAATTATTCAAATGCTAGAATTACTATATACAGCACTTGAAAAAAATAATATCCTCTGGGACTCTTCATAGATCTATGGAAAGCATTTGATACAGTAGACCACAATATCTTGCACCTAAAACTAGAGCATTTTGGGGTCAGAGGACACTCTCAATTACTTAAAATCTTAACTTAGTGATAGTCGACACTATGTATACACAAGACACACTGAGGGCAAATTTATAGGTCTTCACCTTGACTGTAATCTTAAATTTCAGACTCACATCCAGCATATAACTAAAAAAATATCCAAAACAGTTGTCATCCTTTCCAAGATACGATACTATGTACCCCAAATTGGCGCTCCTTACTTTATATCACTCTCTAATATACCCTTACCTTGCCTATGGTATTTGTGCTTGGGGATCTTCCATGGTCAGGCACCTTAAACCTTTAATAACCCAACAAAAAGCTGCTGCGTGAATGATCACAAACTCCTGCACCAGTCAACACACCCCCACCGCTCTTCAGGAGCTTGAGCTTACTTAATATACAAAATATACACACTTCTTATTTTGCTTACTATATATACAGAACATTAAACTCCAGTATCAACCCTCCACTCAGACTTCTCCTACACAGCTTCAACAGAACATACAGGCATTATAATGCAAGGCACAAAACACTTTTTGACATCCCTCATGTCTGTCTCACACTGTGCAAAAATGCAGTGCACATAAAGGGCCTGAAGATCTGAAACTCTTTGCCTGAAACAACAAGAGGTCCCCTGCCCACAAATCAGTTTAGGACTATACTTAAAAATCATCTTGTCTCAATAACAACCATACCCACACTATGCTAATCTCTAACCAAAATTGAAGCAACTCTCCCAAATATTTTATTATCCCTCAACTTTTAAGCCATTATTACAAGCTTAAAAATGTATGTCTGTATCATAAATTGTACTACCTCATATTAATAATAGAGTAAAATATTGAATATTTTTAATCTACCACTCTTCACCTGTCTAGACTTAAGTATTAGGTTAAGTCTGTCTGAAATGCCTTGGCATGATAGTGGCTTTTTTTGTACCAATCAAATTATGAAATGTAAACCCGCATTGTAACCTTTGCAAAGAAATATATTTTTGATTTGATTTAATGTACATAGTGTACAGAGTCCTGAATGACTCCATACATACATACATACATACATACATACATGCATACCCAAATCCACACACATTCTCTTAGGACCTCTTCCACATAATCTTTCTACACACATCTCTTATACTGCTTTTTCATTGCCTGTTTCCTAAGTTGCCATACTTTCCTTCCTTCATCCAAATGGTCTGGTGTCTTAACTGCTTTCATTTGGTATTTAACTCTTGATGTCATTCCAAGTTTATGGAAATGGAGTACATACATGTAATACAAACATTTATGATTTGTCTTGAAGTGAGTATGATTGATTTGCTTTGTCTTTGTAAAGCTGTGTCACATGTATTACATTTATTTTATTAGTGTTCATGTTTTTCTTGTTGCTTTTAATGTTTACTCTTAGATGTGCTGTCATAAATTTTTGATCTCGTGTTGTCGGTTCAGTTTAGCATTTCTGTCATAATATAAATAATAATAATAATAATAATAATAATAATAATAATAATAACAATAATAACAATATACAATGCAGTGGTCCCTTGAGTAACCATATTAATCCTTTAAAGAAGACGTATCATAACTCGAGCCCAAAATACATGGTTTTATGGTAGTTCATTCCAAAATCCCAGAAATTCAACTTGTAATGTACCCTGGACTGGCACATGCACAGATATAACTTGCAGGCAGTGTATCTTCCTTCATTTGCTTCTCTCTCACCCACAATAACAAATCTTTCCATCTTATAATTTCTGTCTTTTTTTTCACTAGCTTAGATTCATCAGCCACTTTAATATTCTTTATTATTTTTATTTGCTTGATGATAGCAGAGATGGTTAATTGTGAAAGCCATACTCTTGCACCAATGCACTAATTTCTGCTTCATCTTTAGAGAAATGGCCCGTTTACTGTGCACTTTAATGGCCATGATGACTTGACTCAAAAGATGGTATAATCATAGCAGAAATGCAGTTATGAAGGGTAATTAATCCAAAGTTAGTGTGGGAAATACCCATGATAGCTTGAAACTGAAGAGTAAACTCTGCTATTGGCTGAGATGCTAACGTATAGACGTTTAACCCTATTGCTGATTGGCTGCTAAGTCACCCTCACAGACTCCCCACTCCTATTGTCTCAGAAGCTGTCCAAGAGGCAAGCTACCACATTGTCAGTTGGTTGAGGCCCACCCATGTGCACCAACGATGATAATAATAACAATAGTATAGTAATAATAATAATAATCTTTATTTCTATAAGTACATGATACTGCTATTACAGACCTAGCTGACATCATTAGCATACTATTGTATATAGAAAACCCCTGGTTATGCAGAGCATTTTGGGCAACTTAGGTCAATCTTGTTCTCCAGGATGTGACCTCCCCACAGTTGTACCATCACATGCATATACAGTGATACCTCACATATCTGGCCTGCCATTACCTGAACCTCGCCAATATCCGAACAGGCCCTGGGAAAGAGCATAATTCTAAAATTTTCCTGAAACATCCGAACAGCCATTTGGATATGGCAGAAGGCTGAATCAAACTTGGCTGCACTTTAGTGTACTAGTTAGCCACTAGGAGCTGTGCTCTTTGCCTTCCTTTTAGCATAATTATAGCTGTGTTTTGTCCTAGCTCTCTTGTGTATGGCACCAAAGAGGACCAGGAATGTGCTTACTCTGGAAAAAAAGAGGGAAATATTGTTGCACTTGGATGCAGGTTGGTCCAAGGGTGGAGAAAAACTACAGAAGACAACATGCAAGACTGGCTAAAGTGTGACGAAGATGACCCTGGTGTGCAATCTCTGACAGATGCAGAGATTGCAGAATCATTGTTGCAACCAGAACATTCCGAAAGTGACAACGACGACCCAATGCCTCCAAGACCAAAAACTTCAGCAGCAAGGACAGGTGTCAAAATACTTTTGGAGTATAGTATTTGGAGCATCCACTGTCCACAGCCCATTTGAAAAGTTATGGGCCTGTTGTCCGTGAAATCCGGGAGGCTGTTATTCGAGCCCAGAGTGTCTGGTCCCACCGCCAGATGATGATGTACTCATTTTTTAAACCTACAACGCCGTCGCTGATGGCATTATGACTGGGTACAGATGGCAATATGATGGTACAGATGCACATTTTTTCCCCCTCTCACGTATCCGGAAACTCCGTGTTTTTGAACCGGTCTCGGCCCATATAGTTCGGATATGAGAGGTATCATTATATCTCAAATTTTTCATTGTAGCTCAAAACTAAATTCTTCAGAGGGCAAATGTAACTAGTGATTATTGTAGCTCAAGGGACTATTGTAATAATAAATAATGTCCATCTATATCTTACTTGTACTTTGAAATTATTGTACTTTATGAAACATTAATGTATTTTTTTTTTCTAGGATCATAATTTAGCAGAATCTCCCCTTCATACATGCCGATCAGCATCTTTAGATGAACTAAACAACATTGACCACTCCTATGGGCTTCCTATAATATCACCAGTGGATGCAAAGAAAAAGTAAGTCTGAGTATAAACATTGTTATTGATTTGTATTTTAAATTGCATTATTAGTGCTGATTACTGTAGGAATATTGTTTGGTATTCCTGGTGAAGATACCGTATGGTTTCTTAATTTTTGTATTTTTTAGCCTGGTGTCTTGATGATGACTTCAAAATGCCTTTTGTGAATCCAGTAATTTTTTGCCAAGGTATTTTCGTCTGCAATGCTACAACAGTGAAAAAGCATAACAACAAACTTGCTCAAGTGTGTGTACGGATGATGCAAAAAATTCTGTGCAAAATATGTAATAAAAGAAACCGGAGGTCTGGTCAGTGGTGACAATTTATATTATCAGGAGTCCTGGACCATGTGCAACTAGGCTTGGTGCTCTTGCTCTTTGACCACAGGGTTTCTAACAATTTCCTTTGCAGAGGAGTACAGTACTTGTGCTTGTTTGGTCCCTGAGAACCATTGTCCTCTTGATAAAAATTTCTGTAACTTTAACAATCATGGTTAAAATTAGTATTATTAGGTTTATGGGAAGACTAAGAACATGATACAGTAGTGTGAGCAATCTTTAGTGGCTAACTTTGTATTTATGAGGAACTTTTCACAAAACACCATAGCTCTGCTAGAATTGTTCAGGTCTGTTTATTCAAGGTAGATTTGGACATCAACAGAAGTATGAAGCAATAGGTCATCTATAAAAGTGAAATTTTTAACCTTATCATGATGAACACTAACCATTTGGGACACCACCATTAATTAAAAGATGATAGCTCACTTTCTAAAATCTACTAAGCTCAAGGTTTCTTAATTTTTTGTATTTCTCTGGGGACCTCTAGTAGCTCATAAGACAGCGACCTAACTCTTTTCATTTTCCTAGGCTATGTAGGGTGTCCACTCTTTGCAAGTCAGTGGTTAACAATTCAGTTGTCTAGCCACTTTAGAGAAATGGAAGTATTTTCTGACAGTGAAGAACTTAATATTTCAGCATTTTAGAGCAGAAGTATTCATTGTAAGACAACCTTTGTGTAATAATAAATGACATACAAAACTTTTTAGTCATACCCTAATAGTACTCTCAAATTTGCCTAGCAGTGCAATTACCTGGGATTCATTTTACAGATTGTGGTTGCAAATGATATTAACTCACTTGTGCTCTTGCCATAGTTCCTGTGAATAACTGATGTTTAGATCACCCAGTGACTTCATGGCTTGGGAAAACCTTGTAAGAGTAAGAGAAAAACAGGAATGGCATTTTTTGTGGTCTGTTTCATTAAGGAAGAATTTCTCCTTTATTGACTATTGAACTAGACATTAGATGTGAATAAGAAGACTAATGGAAAATGTTACAAATGACCTGATCTTTTGAGCATTGGAAATTTTTTTTTACTCATGTTCTGTATATTTGCACGAATCATGTACAGTGGGCTCCCGGTTTACGATCAGCTCCCAATGCGACCAATTATGTAAGTGTATTTATGTAAGTGCGTTTGTATGTGTATGTTTGGGGGTCTGAAATGGACTAATCTAATTCACAATATTCCTTATGGGAACAAATTCGGTCAGTACTGGCACCTGAACATACTTCTGAAATGAAATAATATCGTAAACCGGGGGTCCACTGTATTTGTAATAAATAAATGAATACAAAAAATATACCTACCAAAAAACTTTAAATTTGTGAATGTTGCTGTATAGATTACAGGCAGCCTCTGCTTCTACAGCATGTTAGGTTCTGGGCTGCTGCTGTAAAGTGAAACAGCCTTTTTTCACTTTCAAATGTATATAAGAAGCCTGATAACACATTTCCACTATCATACACATATTAAGAGAGCAGCAGAGCTAGGCCTAAAGAATACATACGCAAGAACACATTGTGTACTTTAAAATATTTTCATTCGTGGCTTATAGGGAATAGTGAATATATTTATTGTAGGAAGTCTGAATAAATGAAGAATTGGTATAACTGAAAACTGCTGCATAAGCAAAATGCTGTAATGCAAAGTGCTGTAAAGCAGGACCCGCATGTACTTGATTAACCAATAAAATTCTGTCCTTATGACTCGCGAAATCGTAATGACACGATTGCCGGGGTATGGTTTATTCTGTCCTTTATAGACACTTCACAGAAAAATTGGAAGTGCTTTGGTAACTTTGGAAACTTTTGAAGAATCTGATGTTACTAGACTTGAGTCTTTGGTATAGGCTTTTTTGCTTTATTCTTAGTTCTGCATGTCATATATCACATTTGATAGGAAAGGATTCTAGTAGCTCAGACTTTAGAATTTTTTTTTTTTTTTTCTCTCTCAACAAGTCGTCCGTCTCCCACCGAGGCAGGGTGACCCAAAAAAGAAAGAAAATCCCCAAAAAGAAAATACTTTCATCATCATTCAACACTTTCACCACACTCACACATTATCACTGTTTTTGCAGAGGTGCTCAGAATACAACAGTTTAGAAGCATACACATATAAAGATACACAACATATACCATAATACAAACTAGTTGTGAAGAATTAGGCTAGCTTTCTAATCTTATAGATAAAAGAGATAATGTAGTTATAAAAATCACCATGTACAGAGCAGTCATTTATTTAAAGATGAGGTTTCTCTCTAAGTAGAGCTTCATGAAATCAAGACTAAATAAAAGTTTGCTCGTCGTATATATTTATTTGGTAACTTGTACCATCCAATAACTAATGATGTACTGTGTTTTTGTATTTGCATTCTTTAAAGAGTTCTCTTTCTCTCCACTTTATCACCACCACCACGATATTTATAGACTTAATACACTGGAATAGCTAAACCATCCAAATCCCTTGGCTGTTAACCATATACAATACATATTATAATATTTTTGTTGTTTATTCTACTTAATAATTTATATATTTCATAATTATTCCTCCATTTATACATTGCTCTTTGATTTAGCATGTTTTACCTTAAATATATTAGCTTACAAGCTTTATTTTCTAATTACTCTCTTAGCTTATTTTCTTGTTTGTTTCAGAATGATGTAATTTAGCTTTTGTTAATACCATGGTATAAATTTTCCATGATTGCAGCCTCCTTAATTTATACAAATTATGTGGTAATATTTCTCAGGAACTATCTTTTTGGAGGGCTGAGTAGCCTGCTTGGGGCATCAGAGTTAGACCGCTACTTTCCTACACGCAGCATTAACATCTTTATAGCGACTTGGAACATGAATGGCAAGGTGGGCATAACCAAAGGCTGTGATTTTATGCTGCTGGCTAAAGTTTACAAATCAGCAATTAATAAATCAGAAATGTTTTTACATTGTACTTAATTTTGGTTTTTGGATATGTTTGTTACCCATCTCAGGAGACTATTGTATCAGTTGTAATGTTTATTAAATAGAGAAAATGCAGGGTAGAGGATAAGCAATGTATTCATCAAAGAAATTGTGAAATTTGGAGTACTGTACTTCAAAATTTATTATTGAGCAAAGAATACATTTTCTGCACTGCACAGATTTATTTTTGAATTTCTCGTTAGACAGTAACATTTACTGGTAGCATTACTGAGGTATGGCAACATTCGCTATATCTTCCAATAGATTGACTTTTCTTTTTTTTTTACCATTGTAGGACACTACTAGGTAGTGACCTTTTTTTTTTAAATGGGGTATAATACCTTGCTTTGGCACGCCAGTGGAGGCTTTAATTATAATTTGACAAAAACTCATATCAGGAGATACTTGCCCTGTTTTCTGATGAATAAAACATCATCACTCTTTCCTGCTACTGGTACAGTAAGCTTGCTTATAGAAGCTCCTCTTGGAGCTTCTATAAGCGAATCACAATATAAAGAGGAGCTTTATAAGAAAACTTATTATAGTTAAAGGAGTGTAACATTTAAGTTTCGTGTGTACTAACCTGATTGTACTCACCTGTTTATGGCTGTGGAGGTTAATTCTCAGATCCTGACCCTGAGCTCATAGGCCCTATTGTACCCTATTGAAGAAATGCTTCCTAACTTCTTTGTGGCTCATCTGTGATTTTATCTCCAGTGGTTTCCTCAAGTTCCTCTTTCTCTCCTCTGAAACAGCCTATCCCTGTCTACCATATCAGTTTCCCCAAGTATTTTGTGTGTTATCATGTTCTGGGTTCTTCTATCCTCCATTATCATTAGATTCAGTTCTGTGAGCTTCTCATAGCTCATGCCCTTTAGTTTGGGAACAAGCTTTGTTGCATGCTCCTTAAATATAGAGACTACATCTACATTTGTTGTCTTCCAGATCTCTGGTAACTGTCCCATATCCTTTGACTTATTGTAGATCATAGCTAGTGGTTTAGACAGTGCTTCTGCACTACAGCAAAGTCCATGGTGACACATTGCCAGGTCTCATTGCCTTTGATGTATCCAGGTCAAACAAAAGTTTATTTACCCCTTACCCTGTTGTATTGATGTTATCAAGTAGTTGTCAGTGTTCCCTGTTCTTAGTCTCTCTGGTATTGCCTCAGTTTCTGCTAAGAAGACCTCTTCAAATCGTTTTATCAATACTTTACAGACTTGTCATTGTTCATGAGCTCTCCTCCCTTCCTCAGCTGAATTTCCTGGTTCTTTGCTATTGTCTTTTTTTTGATGAGGCATTGAAGTAGTTTTGGTTCAAACTTGGCCTATGCTACTATGTCATTCTCAGATTCTATCTCAGTCTCTCTCCTTTCCCTAGCATATCATTTCTGGCTAGTCTGCTCACCTCTGTTCTTGTCTGTCCTTTTCTTTCTGTATTTTTTCCTTACACTCGCACTTCTTTTTTGCCTGTGCATCTCTGGTTGAACTAGTGGCTCTCTTTATCTGTTATTTCTATATCATTTTCAGCTTCTCTGGATTTTCCAGCTAGGTACTCTCTCATCCACTGACTTGCCTTCCAATTCACTACGTTCAGGAAGTCCCTCGGCCCCTCAATTTTTCTTTCTAAAGTACATACTTGAGGTTCAGAACTGCATGATCACTTACACCCAGAGGGCTCTTGCATTCTATTTCACCTCTGTCAGATGTACCCATGGTAAACATTAGGTCTAGTCTTGTTGGCTTGTTAACTCTTCTCTCAAATGTCATTCTTTAACATACTGACTTGGAAAGTTTTCCCCAATAACCTCCATCAAATTAATCCTCCACATTTCTGGTTCCTCATGTGGCTCTCAGTTCTCCCAATCTACTTTTCTATGATTACAATCTCCCATTATAAGTAGCTCCACTAGCCTAAAATGCATTCCTAGTTGCTTCTGCTATGATGTCATCCATCGCTCTGTTGTTCTCATGTTCCTGCTTTGGTCACCTATTATTAGGTAGTGGGTTGTATATCGCTGCAACTACTACTATGCATCTCCCAGTCTTAATGAACACACTATGAAATCAGTTACCTCCAGTCTGTTTATTCCTCTTACCTCTTCAAAACTCCATTGATACTCTTGGTATCCTGCTGGAAATATGCCATCTGATATCATTTTTGTTTGCTTTGTCTCACTGATAACTACTATGTCTAGCATGACCTCAACTCATGGCATAACCTTTAACTCAACACTCATGTTAGATAAGGAATCTGTATTAGCGTACCACATTAATACAGATTCTAATACTGTGTGTGTGTGTGTGTGTGTGTGTGTGTGTGTGTGTGTGTGTGTGTGTTGAAGGATTGTGTGTGGGGGGGGGAGTGGGGGTGTGGGTTCATTTGTGGGTGTATGTGTGTGTGTGGGTATGCATGTGTACATGTGTATTTGTGTACATGTATTCATCTGTATGTGGTTCCAGGGGTCAAAGTCAAGTATTAGCTCCTGGCCCTGTCTCAACTTGCCACTTGTCAGATTCACTCTTTCCTAGCCTCATGTGCCCTGTTGTACCTATTCTTAAAACTACGGTTGGAGTCTGACTCCACCACTTCTTTGTTAAGCTCATTCCACTTCCTGAACACCCTGAAACTTAAGACCCCTGGTACCTGTTTCACACCTCTCTTCTTTGTATATTGTTATCATGTTTTCTCAGGTCCTTCTGTCCTCAAGGATTATTAGGCTCAATACCTGTGTGTATGTCTGAGTGTGTGCGCATGTGTGTGTGCATTTGCATGCCTGATTATGTGCATAAATTATGCTTGTATTTGTGGTTTTGTTTAAATTTCAGTTTAATATCTGAGGCATTATTTGTGTCCTTTGCGTATTATTATTAAAAAATAATGAAATTAGTCACCAGGGAATCAAAGCTCAACCCAAAAGATTTCTTTCAGGTATAGAGGAGTAAGATTAGGGAGAAGATAGGCCAGTTTCAAAGTGGCTCAGGTCAGCTTACTGTCAGTGGCAGAAAAATGTGCACAATCTTCAACACTTCCTTCCTCTCAGTTTTTACACAAGAAAATACTAGCAAAATTCCAGAAATAAAAAAAAAATCATAAGTCAGGATAAAAATAAGTTATGCAAGATTAAAGTCCCAAGCAACATGATTCTCATACAAGTAGATGGATTAAAACCAAACAAATCCCTGGGCCCTGATGAACTGTTCTCAAGGGTTATAAAGGAAAGTAAGGAGGAACTTAGCAAACTATTGGCTAGTCTTTACAATAGATCACTACAAACTGATATAGTGCTGGCAGACGAGTCACTGACTGCAAATGTGATGCCTATCTACAGAATGAGAGATAAGTCATAAGCTTTAAATAGTATAGACCAGTTAGCCTCCATTGTGAGGAAAATTGATGGAATCAGTAATTGCCAAACTGTTTCAAAGCCACTTTGAAATACATAAATTAATCAGTGAATCACAGTATGGTTTTACAAAGGGGCACTCCTTCCTTCTTTGCAAATTTACTTTTTTCAATAAGCTATTTGAGGTGGAAGATCATGATATTGAATATAATAATGTGTATATGGACTTCAGTAAGGCTTGTAGTAGTTACACACAGGAGATAATTGAAGTGAAGGCACACGGAATAGGAAGGGAAAGTTTTTTCCTGGATTGAGGCATGGGTGACTCATAGGCAACAGGTTTGCATAAATGGGGGAGAAATCAAAGTGATGCATTACAAGTGGTGTTGCACAGAGGTCAGTATTGGGGAATAAATAGCACATAAACAAATTTGATAGCAACACTAAAATAGGCCATCAGATAAATTCTGATGAGGACTCTGAAGCACTACAGGAAGATCTGGAAAGGTTGAGGCAATGGTCAGAGAAGTGACAGATGCAGTTTAATGTAAATAAAAGTAAGGTTCTAAGCTTGAGAAAAAAGAATAACTGTCACTTTTAGACTAAACAATGTAGATCTCATTACAGGCATACCTTGCTAATACAACACTTCGCTTTAAAGTACTTCGCTGATACAGAGCTTTTCAATTATATTCATGTTTATTATTTTCAGTGGTGACATGCATCAGCTGACCGGTGCCATTTTTTTATTTATTATTTTAACTTTTTCATCTTTTTTTTTTTTTTTTTTTGCCCTAGCATTACTGCACACTTAATAAATGATAAACATAATTTTAGGCTTTTATATGCATTGGCAAGTGAAAAAAAAAAGGCTGTGATTCAGTTTAAGGTGATAGTTGCTTTACAGCAGTGGTCTGGAACCTAACCCAATGTATTAGCGAGGTATGCATGTACTCTGAATGCAAAAAAGATTTAGTTCTGGTTAGTAGTAATCTAAAGCAAGACAGTGGTTCATAAAGGCTTGAAGGTAAGCTGATAGAATTCTTGGCTTCATATCAAGAAGTATGAGGAGTTCTCATATTATACTTCAACTTTAGATATTCTTGGTAAGGCCTCATTTAGATTATACTGCACAGTTCTGGTCATATTACAAAATGGACATAAATAGACTGGAAAACATACAGAGAAGGATGACAAAGTTGATCCTGTGTATCGGAAAAATTTCTTAAAAGGATCGACTGAGGGTTTATGACTGAAGTGTTTCAATGGAAGACAGGAATAAATAAAGTGGGGTATTAATATATTGAAAATATCTAACCAAGACAGCAGTGGGTTTAAGTTGGAAAGATTTAGAATTACAAAGGATATAGGAACGTACTGGTTTGTTAATGGGATTGTGGATGAGTGGAACAAATTCCCGAGTAACATCATTGAAGTGAGAGCCCTGGCAGTTTTAAAATTTGGTTAGACAATTCCTAAGTGGGTATTGGTGTGTGTGTGTGTTGGACCTGCTTAGCATGGGCCAGTAAACTGGCTGCAGTGCTTCTTTTATGTTCTTATGTAACTCTTGAGCACAACAAACTCATTGGAGGACTATGCACCCATTGCCCACTACCTGCACCTGGGCTTTGGTACAGTAACTGGGATTTTTTCATATCTCCTGTTGACCTGTATCCTTCAGTGGAGTGTACTTTCCATGCAGCCACTGGTAGGGTGCATTCACACTGGTAGAGCAAAGTTACACTGGTTTGCTCCACATCATACCTCGACTTTTAGATTTGACTTAGTCTACCTTCCTACATTTCTTGTAACTAGAACTGTTATGCAACAGTTTGTAAGACTAAGGAATCATTACTGTGAAACAGCCAAATATTAGTAAACATTATAACTATTTTGTAGCAGGCAGTAAAATAAACAACTTGTAATATACAATTTTTATTATAATCAAAAAGAAGCATTGTAATATACAAATACAGTGGACCCCCGGTTAACGATATTTTTTCATTCCAGAAGTATGTTCAGGTGCCAGTACTGACCGAATTTGTTCCCATAAGGAATATTGTGAAGTAGATTAGTCCATTTCAGACCCCCAAATATACACGTACAAACGCACTTACATAAATACACTTACATAATTGGTCGCATTGGGAGGTGATCGTTAAGCGGGGGTCCACTGTATTTAATATTTGAGATTCTATATGCATTAAGTTATAGTGGCATGCATGACAAATAACACTTTACTGTCCCCAGAATAAAAAATAATAAAAAATGCAATAGATCTCCACTGGGTAATCAATATTTAGGCTAATAACACTGGTTTCTTATTACTTCAGTGTGGTCAGAACACACATGACTGTTTCATGACATTATTTGAGCAGGTGTGATTATGGTCAGATAAAAGATGACTGTGGTGGCTTATAAGGTTGCCATTGTAAACTCGTCCCATCTTCAACTATGAGAGCTTTGCTTTCATGGTCACTACCTAACATTCTATGTATAACTCCTTGTGATTTTTCTCAGAATATCATCCATATCTCACTTGCTGAGTGGATGGCAAGCTGCTTGTTCGTCAGCCTGGGAGCCATTTTTTTTTTTTTTTACAAGTCGGCCGTCTCCCACCGAGGCAGGGTGACCCAAAAAGAAAGAAAATCCCCAAAAATAAAATACTTTCATCATCATTCGTATGGACCATGGGAAAGTACTCCTGAAATTCATATCTCATTATGATTATGGTAATCACATCCAATTAGGAGCGAGGCTTAGGTTACATCTCATAAAGGAAGTATTCTATGCCTAGAATGGCTTGCTTGCAACCTGTCCTCTCCCTCAACTGAGAAACTAGTGCCTGATATGGCAAGGACTATTATTCCTTGTCTCTCTTCCTGCAGTGTCTCATAGAACAATCTTCTTATGGCAGATGGGCTGGTTTAAATTCCTACATTATCACCTTCTGTAACAGGGAAACCATGGCTGAACAGATTGCAGTTATTTAGATTTCAAGAAGGCTATTGTTGGAAATTTTTTGTTAAATATGTACTATACATGGAAAGCATTTGAGGGGCTGGTCCCAAATCTGCACACAACTTACTGGAGTGAGAGATATGAGAGAAAGTAGAATAAAACTAGTGAAATGCAGTAATGCTATGGCTACAATAAGAGAATGTCGTGTCAACATTCGTGGTTCTAGACTTTTTAACATCCTACTTGGAGATATTAGAAACACTACTGCAACAAGTGTAGAAGTCTTCAAGAGGAAACTCAACATATACCTCCACTAAGTGCTGCATCAACCAGGATGTGAAAAATATGAGGAGGGGGGGCAGTGGGTTGCCAGCACCAGCAGCCTGGTTGACTAGGCAAGTACTAGATTAGCCTGGCCCAGGGCCAAGCTGTAGAAGTAGGAAAACTGTCAGTCCATCAGCGGTATACATGGCCTCATTACCGAATTTTATTTAGCACAATAACTCGGAATGATTGCCGTAATTTATTAAATACTGTATGCATGTTTTATAGTATGCTCAATATATATACATCATTGCTAGGGTGATATTAAATTATGGTAACATCATAATTTTCTACTCTAACAGGAACCACCAATGAATTTAGAAGCATTTTTACTTCCTGAAGAAATGGACCACATGCCTGACATGTTTGTTGTTGGTACACAAGAGTCTGGTGGTAGTCGGTCTGAGTGGGAGGTATGTAAACACTTCTTTTTATATACATTATGTGTATACGTACTACACATATACTATATACAGTAGTTATGTTATTTTATTGTTGGCGAGTGTTCCTTAAAGCAACCAAACACAGGCACACTCATGCAAAGTAACATTTATGAAGGGATTCAGGAAAACTGGTCAGCCGGACTTGAATCCTGGAGATGGGAAGTACAATGCCTGCACTCTGATGGAGAGGTGGGGATATTTGCAGTTTTGAACTGTAGTAGTGGCACTTCCCTGGCAAGACGATGGAGTGAGTGATGGTAAAAAATTTTCTTCTCTTTTTGAGCCACCCTACCTCAGTGGGAAATGGCCAGTATGTTAACAGAAGCATAACAAATTGTGTGTTCTGTACGAAAAGCACCACCAGGTAATGTACAAATTATCATTTTTTTCATTTTCTGAAATATTAAAGATTTAGTGCATAATTGACTACTGATTGTTATCCATCATCATATGTAACTAGTTACAATAATTTCAGGTACGCTTACAAGCTACCATTGGTCCTTCTCACGTGCTCTTTACCTCAGCTATATTTGGTGTTCTCCATCTCACCATATTCCTACGTAGAGATCTGCTCTGGTTCTGCTCTGGTAAGAGTTTTGCTGCTTCTGTTTCAGCTCTTCCTACACTTTTTCCGTTTGCTTCCCTTGTTGTTCCAACTCTTATCCTTCCTTGTCTTTGTTCTCTTCCTCCTCGTTCCCTCCCTCCTATCTCTGTCCTGAGCCTCACTTTCCCTGTCCTCATATTAATATTCCTCCTCCCTGTCCTCATCCTCTTAGTTATCCTCATTCTCTCCTTATCTTCCTCCCTCTTCTCTTCTCCCTGTCCTTAAACTCCTCTGTGCCCTTTCCTTTACTGTCCTTGTCCATGATCTCTTCTTGCACTCCTACTTTTCATTTTTATCCTCTTCCCTGTCCTCTACCTTTGATTTTCTTCTCTTTCCTGTCATCATTCCTGTCTTTTTTTTTTTTTTTTTTTTCAACAAGTCGGCCGTCTCCCACCGAGGCAGGGTGAACCAAAAAAGAAAGAAAATCCCAAAAAAGAAAATGCTTTCATCATCATTCAACACTATCACCACACTCACACATTATCACTGTTTTTGCAGAGGTGCTCAGAATACAACAGTTTAGAAGCATATACGTATAAAGATACACAACATATCCCTCCAAACTGCCAATATCCCAAACCCCTCCTTTAAAGTGCAGGCACTGTACTTCCCATTTCCAGGACTCGAGTCCGACTATATGAAAATAACCGGTTTCCTTGAATCCCTTCACTAAATATTACCCTGCTCACACTTCAACAGATCGTCAGGTCCCAAGTATCATTCGTCTCCATTCACTCCTTTCTAACACGCTCACGCACGCTTGCTGAAAGTCCAAGCCCCTCGCCCACAAAACCTCCTTTACCCCCTCTCTCCAACCCTTTCGAGGACGACCCCTACCCCTCCTTCCTTCCCCTATAGATTTATATGCTTTCCATGTCATTCTACTTTGATCCATTCTCTCTAAATGACCAAACCACCTCAACAACCCCTCTTCTGCCCTCTGACTAATGCTTTTATTAACTCCACACCTTCTCCTAATTTCCACACTCCGAATTTTCTGCATAATATTTACACCACACATTGCCCTTAGACAGGACATCTCCACTGCCTCCAACCGTCTCCTCGCTGCTGCATTTACCACCCAAGCTTCACATCCATATAAGAGTGTTGGTACCACTATACTTTCATACATTCCCTTCTTTGCCTCCACAGATAGCGTTTTTTGACTCCACATATACCTCAACGCACCACTCACCTTTTTTCCCTCATCAATTCTATGATTAACCTCATCCTTCATAAATCCATCCGCCGACACGTCAACTCCCAAGTATCTGAAAACATTCACTTCTTCCATACTCCTCCTCCCCAATTTGATATCCAATTTTTCTTTATCTAAATCATTTGATACCCTCATCACCTTACTCTTTTCTATGTTCACTTTCAACTTTCTACCTTTACACACATTCCCAAACTCATCCACTAACCTTTGCAATTTTTCTTTAGAATCTCCCATAAGCACAGTATCATCAGCAAAAAGTAACTGTGTCAATTCCCATTTTGAATTTGATTCCCCATAATTTAATCCCACCCCTCTCCCGAACACCCTAGCATTTACTTCTTTTACAACTCCATCTATAAATATATTAAACAACCATGGTGACATTACACATCCCTGTCTAAGATCTGCTTTTACCGGGAAGTATTCTCCCTCTCTTCTACACACCCTAACCTGAGCCTCACTATCCTCATAAAAACTCTTAACAGCATTTAGTAACTTACCACCTATTCCATAAACTTGCAACATCTGCCACATTGCTCCTCTATCCACTCTATCATATGCCTTTTCTAAATCCATAAATGCAATAAAAACTTCCCTACCTTTATCTAAATACTGTTCACATATATGCTTCAGTGTAAACACTTGATCTACACATCCCCTACCCACTCTGAAGCCTCCCTGCTCATCCGCAATCCTACATTCTGTATACGGTAGGGTTATCCCTACTGTATACTTTTCCTGGTATACTCAGTAAACTTATTCCTCTATAATTTTTACAATCTCTTTTGTCCCCTTTCCCTTTATATAAAGGGATTATACATGCTCTCTGCCAATCCCTAGGTGCCTTCCCCTCTTTCATACATTTATTAAACAAAAGTACCAACCACTCCAATACTATATCCCCCCTGCTTTTAACATTTCTGTCATGATCCCATCATTTCCAGCTGCTTTACCCCCTTTCATTCTACGTAATGCCTCACGTACCTCCACCACACTTACATTCTGCTCTTCTTCACTCCTAAAAGATGGTATACCTCCCTGGCCAGTGCATGAAATTACCGCCTCCCTTTCTTCCTCAACATTTAAAAGTTCCTCAAAATATTCTCGCCATCTACCTAATACCTCCCTCTCCCCATCTACTAACTCCCCTACTCTGTTTTTAACTGACAAATCCATACTTTCCCTAGGCTTTCTTAACTTGTTTAACTCACTTATTTTCATTAAAATTTCTTGACAGTCCCTCTCCCACTCTATCATCTGCTTTTTGCACTCTCTCACCACTCTCTTCACCTTTCTTTTACTCTCCATATACTCTGCTCTTCTTATAACACTTCTGCTTTGTAAAAACCTCTCATAAGCTACCTTTTTCTCTTTTATCACACCCTTTACTTCATCATTCCACCAATCACTCCTCCTTCCTCCTGCCCCCACCCTCCTATAACCACAAACTTCTGCCCCATATTCTAATACTGCATTTTTAAAACTATTCCAACCCTCTTCAACCCCCCCACTACTCATCTTTGCACTAGCCCACCTTTCTGCCAATAGTCGCTTATATCTCACCCGAACTTCCTCCTCCCTTAGTTTATACACTTTCACCTCCCTCTTACTTGTTGTTGCCACCTTCCTCTTTTTCCCATCTACCTCTTACTCTAACTGTAGCTACAACTAAATAATGATCCGATATATCAGTTGCCCCTCTATAAATATGTACATCCTGGAGCCTACCCATCAACCTTTTATCCACCAATACCTAATCTAACAAACTACTTTCATTACGTGCTACATCATACCTTGTATATTTATTTATCCTCTTTTTCATAAAATATGTATTACTTATTACCAAATTTCTTTCTACACATAGCTCAATTAAAGGCTCCCCATTTACATTTACCCCTGGCACCCCAAATTTACCTACTACTCCCTCCATAACATTTTTACCCACTTTAGCATTGAAATCCACAATCACCATTACTCTCACACTTGATTCAATACTCCCCATGCATTCACTCAACATTTCCCAAAATCTCTCTCCTCTACACTTCTTTCTTCTCCAGGTGCATACACGCTTACTATAACCCACTTTTCACATCCAATCTTTATTTTACTCCACATAATCCTTGAATTAATACATTTGTAGTCCCTCTTTTCCTGCCATAGCTTATCCTTCAACATTATTGCTACTCCTTCTTTAGCTCTAACTCTATTTGAAACCCCTGACCTAATCCCATTTATTCCTCTCCATTGAAAGTCTCCCACCCCCTTCAGCTTTGTTTCACTTAAAGCCAGGACATCCAGTTTCTTCTCATTCATAACATCCACAATCATCTCTTATCATTTGCACAACATCCATGCACATTCAGACTTCC